GACTAACTCATGGGAGGAAGCTGTTAGGGAAAGGGCCCAGCACTAGACTGATGAGCTGGGTGTTAGAGGATCAACCAGAGAGGAGTGGCACTTGGGAAGGTGCTCAGCACACTCAAAACACAGCTAAGTCCTATGCGATGGGTTGGATTCCCAGCTCAGTCATTTGCAAACTGTGTACTCCTTTTGCCATAGTGTCCTTATTTGTAAAACAGCAATAATAAAAACAGCGCATTCCTCATAGTGTTACTGAACGTAAGAATGTAAGTTCATGTGCTCAACACACAGTGAGGCCAAACAAACTGAAATATCAGAGTTTGGAGCAGAGAAAAGTTTATTGCAGGGCCATGCAAGGAGAATGGGTGGCTCGTGCCCCCAACTTCCAAACTCTCCTCAGGGTTTCAGCAAAGCATTTTTAAAGCCCAGGTGTGGGAGGGGTGTGGTTGGTTGTTGAAAACTTGGTGTTTGAATCCTTTGTTCTTGCAGCTCTCCGCATAGGTCAGGTCATGATGTTCCTGTAAACCTCCAACAAAACAAGTGCTATTCTCTATTCTGCAACTTTTTATCTTTATATGAATGAGAAAGTGTTATACTGTTGAAGGTCAGAGTCTTGAATAGGGGCTATCCTGTGTATTTCAGCCTATAGGCAACATTTTTAAAGCAAAAGCAATAGAATGCAAAGGTAAAAGAAACAGATCTAATAGGGAGTCAGATTTGTTCTTCCCTATTATGATAAATGATTGATGGGATTAAATAAATTCATGCACAAAAAACATTTAGAGAATTACAGGGCTCATGGCGTGTGCTCTGTACATGTTCTAACCACCCCCCATATACACTTATGTATATGCCTATGACAGACACATAGATACACACTGAAAATACAGCATGCTTGGGGTGGGATGAGCGTTGGGGAGAGAAGTAGAGGATGAGGTGTGAAAGGAGGACAGAGACCAATTGAATTTAATTCTTAGTGCATTGAGTTTCCTGAAGGGCTTTAGCAAAGGTGATGTGAACATGAAAGAATGGGTTAGAGGGAGGCTGCAAAAGTTGGATATGGGAGGGCAGTTGTGGGGCTATTTTAAGAATATGGAAAGTGATGAAGGCTTGGAGGAATGCCTGCTCAATGTGATGTGAGGGATACTGAACCCCAGGCTCAAACAGATTTCCTTTATACCATGTTCTTGATACCGTCTTTACATCATTCTTCAAATCTTTACCACTGCAGTAATGCCTTTGGATTAATGATGGAATGAGGGAATGGAATGTTATTGAGTGACTATTCATTTCCAGGTATGATTTATGTAATTCTCATAATGGCTTTTAGGGTAGGTTTCTCTTAGCTCTATTATACAAATAGGACACTGAAACTCAGAGAAGTCAAGAAAGTTGCCTCAAGTCCCCCAGCTAGTAAATAGCAAAACGAGAGTTGAAACCCGGGTCTGTGAGACTTCAACAATATTTTTTTCCCCGTCCTGTTGATTGGCTCAGTTTCTTTAAGATCTCATGGCAACATGGAGCTGTGTTTCCTTAGAGGTAACCTGTGTCATCACTGCTTATGGCATTGATTAAGTCCATACATTAGCTAGACATCAGAAGGATTGAAATAAAGATCATGAATGCTGGGATGGATTGGAGAGAGAGGAGATAGTGTCTTGGAGTGGAGCGTCTGGGTGCTGCAGACTGAGACAACCAGATCAGGGCATCTCTTGTCAGCAGTAACTCAAGATTCCATGCTTATTCACCTCACTTCCATAGTCATATACAGTGAGCTTTAAACTGTTCCCATAGCACTGGGTGCTCCCTTCTATTTTAGCTCACAACATATTAGTGTCACAGTCCGCCAATTGTATATGCCATGTTCCCTCACTCAGCACTAAAGCTCCTAAGGACCCAGTTCCTAACCCAGAGTCTGGTGCAGAGCCACAGGGGAGACATCGCAAGAGACCATGAAGATACAGAAGCAGACTCTGCACCCAAATAATTTCAGGTAGAGTTTGAGAACCTGAAATATGGCAGAACAGGAAACTTGGAGCCAGCTTGCATTCCATGGGCAACAAACCATTGATCAAAAAGTGAAATAGCATTATTTGGGGTGAGAAAGTGGGGTGCCAGCACTGGGGAGGAATGCAAAGTCCTCCATGTATCCTAAACACTACTAATACTCCTACTATCTGTTATTGGTTTAACACAAATAACGTGACAGACATGATGGCATCCCTTTGTACAAATTGTCACTTTATATGGATAAGCACATTTAATGCTCACAGCAGTCTTCTCTGAAGGGTGTAATTACCCCACTTTATAGATGAGGAAATCAGGCGTAGGGATGTAGAGATGCCAAAGCAACAGAGTTAACAAGTTATGACCATCACAGCTTAACATCCATGATCTTATCTACATTATGATCCTTATTATTCTATGATTGATGCCAGCTTGCTGTCTGTAGCCTCCATTTGGTTTTCATAAAGTCTGGTTCAGAGGACAGAGGCAGGAACATTGATGGGGTGATACGGGGAGAGTCTGAGAGAGCTGGGAATTTGTGAAAATCCCTCCGTACCTGGACTATTTCATTTTAGGGTCTCGGGAGTCATCAGCAAGTTTTTGGTTAGAACCACTTTATTCCAGAGGAATAAATTGTGAAATGATATTTTAAAATTAATTACAGGAAAAGTATGATTTTATTTTCATTACAAAATTTCAGCTTTCCAAAGGACGCTTCTATATGCTTAGTCAAAAAAAACCCTTAATTTATCACTGTGTATGTTCAAGGTGAGGATTTTAATTGCTTGGTGAATAATAAAAAATTGAGTTATCCCAAGTACTTGATTTCAAATAAGAATAATTTCACCCCCCACACACCCATTCGCCACCATCTCACCCACATAAGATGGTATATAATGAATCTGTTTTAAGTATAATTAAATAGCCTTAATGTTTTTCTATTATAAAAGTAATAAAAGTTTTTTGTAAAAGTTTTTGTGATGAAAAACTAGGAAAAGGAATGTAAAAATAACCTATAAAACACCTCCTACATAGAGTCACTATTAATTTATTTTAAAGGCTATTTTTTAGAGCAGTTTAGATTCACAGCAAAATAAAAAGGAAGGTACAGAGATTTCCCATATACCCCCAGCTCCCAAAAATGCAAGTTCCCTTCCCTCATTATCAGCAACCCCCATCAGAGTGGTACATTTATTTCAATTGATGAACCTAGGTTGACAATTTGTAATCACCCAAAGTCCATAGTTTACATTATGGTTCACTATTGCAATTGTACATTCTGTGAGTTTAGACAAATGTATAATAACATGTATCCATCATTATAGTATCATAGATTATTTTCAGTGCCCTAGAAATCCTCTAAGCTGTGCCAATTTATTTTTCCCTCCCATTAACCCCTGGCCTCCACTGATCTTTTTACTGTCCCATAGTTCTGCTTTTTCTAGAATGTCATATAGTTGGACTCATACAGTAGACTTTTCAGATTGGCTTTTTTCACTAAGTAATATGAACCTAAATTGTTTTTTCTTTTTTTCATGGCTTGATAGTTCATTTCTTTTTAGTGTTGTATAATATTCCAGTGTCTCAGTGTACCATCGTTTAGTTATCCATTCACCTGCTGAAGGACATCTTGGTTGCTTCTAGTATTTGGCAATTATGAATGAAGCTGCTATAAACATCTGTGTGCAGGTTTTTGTGTGGACATAGGTTTTCAGCTCCTTTGAGTAAATACCAAGGAGCTAGGTTGCTGGATACTATGGTAAGAGTACACTTAGTTTTGTAAGACACCACCAAACTGTCTTCCATTGGCTGTACCATCTTACATTCCCACCAGCAATGAAGCAGATTTCCTGTTGCTCCAAATCCTCACCAGCACTTGGTGGTGTCAGTGTTCCAGAGTTAGACCGTTCTAATAGGTGTGCAGTTAACAGCATCTCATTATTTTAATTTGCATTTCCCTGGTGACATGTGATGTGGAGCATCTTTTCAGATAATTATTTGTCATCTGTAGATATTCTTTGGTGAGGTGAGACTCCTCATATTTGAAAGTTGCTAAGAGGCTAGATCTTAAAAGTTTTCATCACAAGAAAAAAATTCTATAACTATGTATGGTGACAAATGTTAACTACACTTTTTTGTGGCGGTCATCTTAAAATATATACAAATATCTAATAATTATGCTGTACAGTTGAAACTAATATAACATTGTAGGTCAATTATGCATCATTCAAAAAGAAAAAGAAAATCCTTATTAGCTTTTCGGCGTACAATTTTCAGATATGTTTATACACATCTACTACATAAGCTTATCTAAATTATGATTACCGGGCCTTCTCTTTTTGCTTTCACAATGATGAATGAACATTTTTGTATATGAAAACTAAAATGATAGATACCATCAGCACAAGATAAGGCAAGCATGAGAAGGATGCAAGATATTTGCCCTCTCTGTTAAAATAGTAAGTCTTCTTTTACTGCATATTCTTTTCCATTGAACCAAAAGGAAACCTCAGAATCCTTCTCAGTGCAGATCTAGGAAGACAGTACTGTTCAGAGCTGAAATAATAAGCTATATATTTCATCTCCCACCTTGAGCCTGAGATAATGGGATAAAGTGACTCCAACTCTCAGAAGCAAATTATTAAGGAGGATAAATCATGAGAGATTATTACAACCAGGCATTTGACACAATAGAGCCTGACAAAGGTACTTGTGGTATTCACACCCTGTCCCTTCAAGCAAAAGCTGACAGCACTAATGAGGGCTTTTACTTCTAAGCTAATGATCCGTTCACTCTGACTGTGTGACGGCTCCTCGTAAATGAATATTTCCCTTGAATCTAATTAGATTGGGTCTAGACTATATGTTTCCCAGTGAGTCGGTACCTTATAGATATCAGGAACATTTCTATTAATTGGACAACAACTAAGATGGGAAAGAAGGAAAAGCAATCTGGAGGATGTGCACTGATTTGTCTCCCCCTCTCTCTTTGTGCCTAGAATCAGACATCGCTGACTTTGATGGCCGAAGCTCCCTTCTGTACAGGTTCAATCAGAAGCTGATGAGTACTCTCAAAGATGTGATCTCCCTGAAGTTCAAGAGCATGCAAGGAGACGGGGTCCTGTTCCATGGAGAAGGGCAACGTGGAGACTACATCACCCTGGAGCTCCAGAAGGGGAGGCTCGCCCTGCACCTCAACTTGGGTAGGTCCCTGCCCATGTCAGGCTACGGGGAAATCCTTTTGTAGCAGGTCACAGTTACTTAACCTCCTAGTGTATCAGTTAGAAGTTCCTGGATCACAGTCTAAGTGACATATTTTCCTTATGCAGGTTGGAGAAGAAAAATACCATGTTTAAGCCATAAACAGCATTCTTTAAACAGGGTAATTTTGGTAGGGAGGGAGAGCTACAAGCTAATTGTTCATTTTTTCTTTCTTCCTTTTTCTTTCCTTCTTTCTTTCTTTCTTTCCTTCCTTCCTTCCTTCCTTCCTTCCTTCCTTCCTTCCTTCCTTCCTTCCTTCCTTCTTTCTTTCTTTCTTTCTTTCTTTCTTTCTTTCTCTCCATACTTCTTTCTTTTTTTTTTTTTTTGCGGTATGTGGGCCTCTCACTGTTGTGGCCTCTCCTGTTGCGGAGCGCAGGCTCCGGACACACAGGCTTAACAGCCATGGCTCACAGGCCCAGCTGCTCTGCGGCATGTGGGATCCTCCTGAACCGGGGCACGAACCCATGTCCCCTGCATTGGCAGGCGGACTCCCAACCACTGCGCCGCCAGGGAAGCCCCATATTTCTCTTTTTTTAGTAACAAACTTTAGCTTGAGCAAGTTTACATGCACACGTGTGCGCACACACAGACACACACACACGCACATGTATTATAATGAGGCTTTTGCTCATAGTCTATTGTAATTGTTACATTTATGAAAGTTAAGTTCCGGGGGAAAATGGAGGAAAAACATTTTAATATATATATATATAACATTTAATATCTTTCCTGGTTTGTTTTTTGTTTTTGTTTGTTTGTTTTTGTTTGTTTTTGTTTCTTTGTGGGGGAATAAGGGGGTCATATGTATGACATCTAAGTTTCTGGGCATTCCCATGTCTTATATAAGTGTCCAGGCTGTGCCAGTGTGAGCCCTAGACTTGCCAAATGCCAGCTAATTTATTAGAGATGCCCTGCTGCCTTCTCTGTATTTAGGACTCAGGCTTCTACATCCATCATGCCTGCCTCACTACTGGCAGGTCTGCATTTCTTTGTAATCAACTTCCTATCCCAGGGGAAGAAAGAGAGAGGGTCACCCTCCTTTATGTGAAAGGTGCTTTGGAAGGAAGTATGGGCCAAGTGCAGAAGGCAGGGAGCAGAGTTTCCAAAGATGAAAAGGCAAACCAAAAAGCTCTACTGGAGGAAAAGAAACCAGGACCAAGAGTTAGGCTGACGAAAAAGGAAGTGACCATTTTTTATAAGAATGAATCCCTTCCTCCCATTAAAAATGTTAGTTTTAGGGGAAGGGGTGGAGAGTATATTTGTGGAAGAGAATTATCACCCGTCACCAAGTATTCCCTATCAAGTAGTAAAGATGGAAAGTCATAGCAGACTTCAGTTTGTAAGCTCAAGTTGGATGAAAGACTGGAAAAATCACAGATAAGTTTTATCTTTTAGTAATTATTATTTAGTAATAAATTATTTTAGTAATTAGCATAAAAATGAAGATTATTGTGAACTCATCCCCAAAGCCAAACAATGTAGATCCTTATTTTGAGGCATTTCTGAGCATCTCCTTAGCCTCCATGGTGAGTATTGGCATGGGTAGCAGGGAGAACCCCTGGATCCCAAGTTTTAACTCATCAAATTGATAACTAATGCACTAAATTAAATATTTAGCAAAAGCATCTTTAGAAGGAGAGTCTCACTCAGAGGAGAGCAATAAGAGGTTTTGCTAGTAACATAATCGGTTTTGCTCACTTACCTAAAGAAGAAATGTATCAGTGAATTCTATGAACGGTGGGCATATAAATATTCAGCAGAAATACATCAGTCTGTTAACTGGCCTTCAATTTTTGTGAAAGGAGAATGGATGGAGTAACTCCCCGAACACACACACACCCAGTTACAGTTACTCTGTGGTTCACAGAGCATTGTGGGTTGTGGATAAAGTTATTATGACTTGTCATTAGTAAAGCAGGTAACACTGATTCTGTCAGTGACTGCCATTTGGATTCCCAATTCCAATGTGCCATTACCACTCCAAAGCTCTGCTCCAACATCCATAACCCAATGAGGTACAGCAGCTTCACACACAGTAAAGCAGGATGGAAAGGAAGAGGTGTGCTCATGTGACAGATTTTATTTTAATTGCAGACAGGTGCTAGCTATTTATTATGGGGAAAGTTCATAACTCCCAAGCCTCAGTTTACTTATTTCTAACCTGGGGTTATTACTATCTTCCAGGGCACGAACATGAAAGCTAAAAGTATTCAAAATGAATTTTCTTTGTCAGTATATAAACACGGTGAAGCTCTTAATATTACTCATCATTCAACCAACAATATCTGAATGTCCCACACCCTGTGCTATGCGGGTCTTCCTGGAAATAAATGGGTATTTTAAGGTAAAGAAGACCCGCTCCATGCTGCAATATAAAGCAAGCAGAATAATTCTCTCTCTCCAGATTCCATCTGCCCCATATTTCTAACTGTGGTGGCAATAATGGAAAATCTCCTTTAGTCTGTTTTCTGCAGAGTTTGGAATTTCTTCATCTTTTCATCTGCTTATGGATTTTACTCATTTCCATCCATTTACCATGACTGTTTCCTGTACTTATCTCTTTTAAGCAGTCACCTAGGATACTTGTTAAATAGCACAGATTTCTATGTTCCTTCTCTAGAGAGATGCTGACGTATATTAGTACTTTAGCTCTGCGTAACTCTGTTACAGCCAGCAGATTTCTGGAAGCACTAAGTTAAGGGGAAAGGGGGAATGATAATCGCTTTGATTTGCCCATAAGAGAAAATCTGTAACATACGTTCCACAAGGGAAAGATAACACTTTGTTCATAACTGTAGCTCTGGAAACTAGGAGAACACCAGCCTGAAGTAGGTACTTGAGGCAAATTGAGTACATTGGAAAAAGTGGTTTTCATCTCATATATCAGAGCCTGACACAAATACATATTATTCTCATTTGGCTTGCTGACCCTCAAGCCTGAGCTACTCTCCCCGCTATGATATTTGCAGAATGCCCACAATGTGCCAGTATGCTATCCAATCCTCAGAGCAGCCCTATTAGGTACATAAACATTAGTTCCAATTTACCCATGTGGAATGTTAGGTTGAAGGAGGATATATCACCTGTTCAAATTACACAGCTATAAATTAGCATAGCCACAATTAAAATCCAGTTATATTTACCAGGTTTTAAACTTACTTTCAGATTATAAAATATATGTCAGTTTTAGAAAACTTGAAGGAAAAAAACCACTCTATAAAGAAGGGAAAAATCACTCAAAATCCTACAACTCAGTCATCCTTCTATTAACATTTTTGTATATTTTCCAAGTGTTTTCCTTAGCTATTTATATAAAATATATGATATAAAATTCATGTTCTTCCCATGTTGCCACACAGCCTTCAAAGAGGAAAGAGTTCATACCACCCATGATCAAGCTCTTTTTTTAAAGAAATGAATCAAGAAATAAAAAGGAAGAAAGAGAGAGCAAGAGGAGGAGTGGGGAAGGAAGAATCCTAAAATCCAAGTTAATGGGCTGCAAAATGGTGCTGGGGCAATGGCCAATGACGGAGGAAGGGGAGGAAGTTTCTCTCTGCCCAGCTGACGTGGACACTGCAGCAGTGTTTCCTTTAGTGACAGTTCTCCAGTTCCTTATCTAATCTGTGACTTTACAATTCAGAAATTCAGGCTGAGTAGAGAGGTTCAGTACCATGGACAGCTGCATGACCTATACCATGGCCTTTGGAGGTATACACAGTGTGCTGTGGTTCTTCACAAGTGATGCTCTTTGCCGAAATTCTGATTCATATTACCTAGTTACTCCTATGGAGGCTGACTTGGAAAGATCATTTCAATGCTGCAGTTGAACTAGGTGTTTGACTACTTTCTTTGGGTAGAACAGTGAGATTTCTAGAGCTACTAATGGGAGAGAGATTTCTTCTCTCAGTCCATAAGGGGGTTCATAAAGATTCCTCTTTCCATGCTACACATGTCATTCAGATCACCTGTGGCAGTTTGCCCTCAGTAGAATTACAACAGCTCAAACCCATACATGCAGGTGGGAGAATGAAAGAGCAGAGGCATTACGTGACTGGGGAATTGTGGTGAGAACTAAATAAAACATCAATAGCACATGCAGATCATTCATCCTTACAAGAGTCCAGCACCTTTGAACTGAGGCATAATGTTTGTGTAATATGACAGTCATAGGAAAGCGAGAATCTTGGCATAGCATAACCACGTGTGGAGCACCCTGTCCTTGGGGGGCCAAGTATGGGTTCAGAGGCAAAGCATTTGACTGCATAACCAACTCACTGAGATAGCTTGGGATATCAGTGAACAGTCTGAACATTCTCCAGAGAGTCCAATGAACATTTACTTTAGCTTTTTGAAATTCAAGCGTTTTGATAAGCCAACTCATATGTATTTATAAAACATTTATTGTGTTTCTGGACCTGGACTAAATACTACAAAAGATGTTTTTTAATGTTGCCATTTTTTGAGAGCCCTCACTTAGGCACTGTGCTAGACATTTTACATATATATTTCATTTGTATCACATGGCAATCCTACAAACTATATCCAAACCCATTTTACAGATGGAGAAACTGATGGTCAGTGATGTCCAGTAGGTTGCCCCGGGCTACATAGGTCACGTAGATGCATAGCTGTAAACCCAAGATTAGAACACTCTCCAATCGAACCCCAAGTTCCTGACATTCATCATTAAAATGTTATAAACCTTCATGAAACAATTACAAATTAAATATCGGGAAGTTGGTATCCATGTGTTATATTTTGAGAATGGAGAGACCAGAGGAGGATAAAGGAGTCCAGAAAGCCTTCCTGGATCCACCTTGAGTTAGCTGGAGATTTCATTACAAAGAGGAAGGGAACACAGGCATTTCAGACAAAGTGTCAATGGGATAAGTTGTTCCACATTTTATGTAAATTGTGTCATTCTTATAATAAGAATTCACTGAACGAGTACATTAAGCCAGGCACTGAGCTATGCACTGGAGGTTAAAAGTTGAATTTACCAGTTCTGATTTTCAAGGAGGTCCAGGCCTAGTAAAGTAATTATTACAATTTACTTTCTAATTTTGTAATATTAACTAAACATATATAATTAGGTATCATCAAAACCACATACCATAATTGTATTAAGATAGCATTTTTTAAGATAACAAAGTCACAGAAGATGGATACAGCTTAGGAGTCAGACTTGAACCATGACTCCTAAATCTAGAGAATGTTTTATTGAATAAACTTTAGAAAAATTTTAACAACTTTAACAGTACAAGAAAGATGTATTTCATTGCTTTTTTGATACGTAAGGATTTGCTCTGATCTGAGGGTCAAGTCCGCTGCAGTCGCATGGCGTCCTGTTAGTTTTTATTTTCTTCGGAAGACTTCCCTTGAGCACTTAGGAGAACATTCATCAGCCCTGAATTCGGCTAAACAAGGGCCTTTATGCTCCTGGATAACCTGCAAAGGTGAAATTTGCCTTCACCTTCTACATCATGTCCTTCCCTCTTAGGATTGCCCCATGTTCCTTTCCAAAACTCTCAGCTTCCCAATGCATCAAATCCTTTTCTTGGTATTCTGATTAAGCTATATAAGCTCACACGTATGTATGGTGGAAAGCAGGTGGCCAGGACATAAGAAATGAGGGTAAGTGGGAGTATCAATTTTTCCAGTAGGGGTAGTGGTAAGAGCATTAGCTTTGGAGTCAGAGCTTGGTTGTAGCCCTAATTCTTTGGGTCCTTAGGTATGTCTTGTAGCTTCTTTGAGGTGAAGCTTTTTGTAAGGCTGTGTTCAGGAATAATGGAAACAACCTATGTAAAATGCTTACCTCACTTAGTAGAAGAGAACCTTAAAAATACAAGTGAATACCAACATCGATAACCTGAACAACTAAGGTGGGAAGGTTAATTCTGAAGGTCGGGTGGAGGTAGGCATTGGTGACCTTCATGTGAGTGGTCCCCTATCTCATCAACAATAAATCAAGCCCTTTCCAACGTGACTTTCCGTTGAAATACAATCTTAAAAAAGAAAGTTTCTGTTCCCTTTTGCTAGGCCATATGATATCCACAGATTGTGAAAGTTAAAGTGTTTAAACTGTTAAGACCAAGCAAGATTTAATCAAAGAAGACTTTGGGTGAAAACAATGCAATATAATGCCCTTAGTCAGAAAAATGTTAGTTCCAAGGGTGAACAATTTGACATGCTTATCCATAGTATGTTGGGGATGGGGGTGGGGGAGAAGAGCAAGTTAGAAATATTTTGCAATCATTTCAAGCTTCCTATAAAAATTGCCATATGCTTTAGGGACTTGAGTAGTATTTACATTGTTTCATTTTAATTATATCTCAAACCACATGAAAACAAGTTTTTATTTAATTAGTAATAAGAGGTATTTTCCCCCCTAATGTGTTTCTGGCCTAAAAGATAGCTTCCAGATATTTTTATTGTCTTTGTTCTCCACAGTTGCCCATAGGAATTTTTATCTTGCCTTAATAAATTGGAAACGAGTTAAAACTAGTAGTTGAACCATAATTGCCACTGAGATAAAACTTGAAATGTGTATTACAGGATGAAGAGTTTGATAATCTTTTGAGAATGAAGTTTGTATTGCAATTTCTAATACTGAACATTTCTAGGTAAAATGGAACCTTTCCTAGGAGTAACCTTTTTCTTCAAGGTAACACCTACTATAGATACAATTTAAAACATCCTATTTAATGAAGAGCAGAATTTCCTGTTTATCCAATTGTTTAAACAGACTAACTTTCACTCAATTTGTGTGCATGCAAGATTTCTGAGTGTTAGCATAGAATGGTTAATGGAGAGGATCAGTGAAATAAGGTCATGTCTACCAATTTTTTTAGTTAAAAAGATGCTTGTAATGCAGGAGATATTCAACAATTTACACATCACTCGTATAGTTTTCAATGAACCAGCTATGCAGGTTAAGGATTATGTTTTTAATGAAGTTTATTTGTTTTTCCCATTATCAAAGATACTTATACTCATTCTAAAATGTAAGAAGAAAAGAAAAAAGGAAATCAAAACTTCTGTTAATGTTTTAGTAAATGCAAACAAGGATAGAAGAAAGATTCACTACCTTATCCAAAAAGTCAAGTAAAATTTACAGTCTGTTTGACCTATTCAAAATTAAATTTCTCTTATGAAGTAGGAATAATAGTGTAGAAAAATATTAAAATACTTAATTTAATCCTTGTCTTTATTGGCTCTACTAAAGAAGTCAACATATCACTAAAACCCACCCAACACAACACATAAGAACAAATAATTAGGAGGAAAAGATGTGATTCCTTTACTTTTTCATTTTGTGACTTTCAGTGGCTTTACAGTTTCAAACCTTTAATGTTTTGGACTTATTATTACTGAATCATTGTTAAATGCCTTTTTAGTTTTTAAGAAAAAATGTCGGAGGTGCACATCAAATTTAAAATGAAATCTCTGATATTAAATCTATTTGACTTATTACCTAGAATTAATAGTTTATAAGGCACACTGTTTCCTTCAACCAATCATTAACCTTTGGACATGTTTTATTTTATAAGTAAAAGTTGTGTGTGTGTGTGTGTGTGTGTGTGTGTGTGTGTGTGTGTGTGTAGAAGAAGTGGGGGAGAGAGACGGACACTGGTGTTCTTTGTTCTGACTGGTACCACTTTTCACCTACCTGCTTGAGCAAACATACTAAAAGTCATCCCTAGGTGGGTCTTTCCTTTACCATGTCTACCTCCAATATCCAAATGGCATGCCAGGTCACCACATGCCAACACCTTCTCACTGGCTGAAAATCCATCCTCCTGTGCTCTCTTTACCTAAGCCCCTCGTCCCCCATCTAGATGACTGCCAGTTTTTCTGGCAGCCTTGCCTTCTCATCAAATTCCCATACAGCTGTCAAAATAACCTTCTTAAAATGTTAATCTGAGTCAATAATCCCTGACTTATTAATTGACCAATGGCTCCCATTTCTTAAAAGTAAACACAGGCTGTAACCTAGCTCACACTAGCACACTGGTCCTGGGTGGGATAAACCAGCGTCACGTGGTCATGGCACTCTGCTGCGTGGAATCCCTTTAGGTGTTCCCCTGTACCCCCAACCTTGGCATGTGCTTCTCCCGGCTGGGTAGCAATGCTCCTTGTTCTGGCCAAATATCAGGCCTGGCACCACTTTGTAAAGCGGCCTCCACAGCTCCCTACCCTGCATTTCCATGGCTCCCTGCATTAACGGCTGTTAATACCACCAGCATGCTTTTTATCAATTCACTTATTGAGTCTCCACATTAAAACTTTCAGAGAGGGAAGTGTGCCTTTTAACTCTGTATCTCCTGTATACATCATTTGTCACTGTAAGCAAGTCAGGTAGATATCAACACCTTTTTGTAGATGGATGGAAGGATGAAAGGATGGGAGGGAGGAAGGAAGGAAGGAAGGAAGGAAGGACGAAGGGAGGAAAGGAAGAAGGAAGGAAAGAAGGAAGAAGGAAAGGAGGAGAGAGAGAAGGAAAGAGGGAAGGAAGGAGGGAGGGAGAGAGGTGAGGGAGAAAGAAAAAGATCTATTAATGTATTTGCATAATTTGACACATTTTAAGAACTCAGAAGATGTGGAACAAATCAATATGTCAATGAATAAATCAATTAAAGGCAGCTATGAACTCATCAGCTCTTATTTTTCAATTACAGTCATCTGGGTGCCTCCCCCCAACCCCCATAGGAAGCAACGAAGTGTTATTTCATGCAGGAAGCAGTGACTTGGGGCCATAATGGAGGTAGGAGTGAGCAGCCTACAGTGGAAATGGCAACTCCAGCCCCTTAAATGCTGCACCACGGAGCAGGCTGCTGCAGTTGTTCTGTAAAACATGTCTTAGGAGAGAGAAGAGAGACATTTAGCTTTCAGTTACTAAGGGTACCGAACGCATAAAATATTCAAAAATTGGAAGGTTTACATGTAAGTAAAATTAGTTGCATTGAGCTGTTCGTTTTGCTAAGGCTAAGCCATTCTACAGGAACAAAGAACAAAGAAAAAAAAAGCTTTAATCTTTTTGACAGAAGGATACAGGCAGGAAGTCCATAAAATTGGAGGAGAGACAGGAGGGGAAACGGGCAGACTTGATTGAAAAATGTACCTCTCCACCGGAATCTCTCACATTCTCCCAAGGGGTATCTTCCAAGCTCAGTTTAGGGTGAATCATAGGACCCTTGCCCTGGTCAGTCAAAAGGGTCGAGACCTGGATTTGAACGCTGGCTGCATCTCTACCTAGGCATGCTTACCCTCACCGGACCACAGTTTCCTAATTTGTCAAATGCAGGTAATCATTTTGTCTTAGAGCATCAAACTTGGAGGTTATAAAATCCCTAGTTAAGTGCCCTTGATAGAGTAGGCATTTGAAAATGGCAGCTAAAATGATTATTTCCTCCCCGTTTCCTTCGCCCACAAATCTACCCAACTTATTGGGGCCACGGTCTTCCCTCTACTTCTCCAGCATTCACTATTCCTCCAAAACACAGCTAAAGATTCACTTTCTCCTTTCAAGAGCCATTCACATGCAAAGAATATGTATTCTTTCTAAATGTGACAAGTCCTATTTTCAATATCATTCATATGGCCATCAGGATATGGTTTCTCTTATTATTTAATCACACAAGTCCTAACATGTCATTTCACGTGTAGAAGGGGGTGTGTGTATCAGTTGACTGAGATTTTGGTCCTGCAATCTGTGGGAAAATGTTGGTATTCCTTCCCAAGCCCAGCACGGTTCTGGGTCTGCAGGCAGGGAATCATCCTTTACCTTTGGATAGAGAGAGTTGGACTTGCTAGCAGAACGTTCTAGTGCTTCAGGCTGCCCTTGGGCACAGAGCCATCCCGTGTTCCATCCCCTTCACAGATGACAGCAAACCTCGGCTCAGCAGCAGCCCCCCCTCGGCCACCCTGGGCAGCCTCCTGGATGACCAGCACTGGCACTCCGTCCTTCTCGAGCGGGTCGGCAAGCATGTGAACTTCACCGTGGACCGGCACACACAGCACTTCCGGACCAAGGGCGAGGCGGATGCCCTAGACATCGACTATGAGGTGAGTTGATTCTCCCTGCAGACCTCCAAGCCCCTTGTTCATGATCAGTAAAAAAATCAGGTAGCAAAAGAGCAAGTGAGAAGATGTGGGCCCCTGACAGATCTTACCCTGGGGCTTCTCTTACCCTCGCTCTAAGCCCAGTCAGCCAACCACGGGGGAGTCCACAGAGAGAGTCTGAGCTGTGAGCCTGGGGAAACGCCTTGCAAGGCATCAGCTAATTGTGTGCATTTTAAAATCAGCAAGGCTTCTTTTTACTTTTTAAAACTTCTTTTTTTTTTTTTTTTTTTTTCTGGTAGCTTTCCTGTATCACCATCTAGTCTCTTGCTTACATTCAGTAATTCTTTTTTTTCGAAAATCAGCTTCAGTTAGCCGAGGTCATGGAAAATACAGAAATTATATTAATATAAAATTTTAGGTCAATTATACCTTAATAAAATAAATAATAAAATCCAAAGAAATTGAAAATCTGCATGATAGGCTCTTGTTTTTCACCTTCATTCCTATGCAGACTTCTGACCAATACACAAGGACAGTTAGTTCTACAAAAGAGCAAGAAAGAACTAACTGTCCTTGTGTATTGGTCCGAAGTTTTGCAAGACTAGCGGACAAGATTTAACCATCTTTGCTAGTAGTTCAGTTCAAGAAGTATATATTGTGCTCCCACTGTATACCAGGCTCTCTTCTAGGCAATACCAATCAGAGATGACTAAAGCAGAGTCCCTGAGTTGGAGATGCTTACAGTCTAATAGCAGAGTCAGGCCTGGAACACCCACTGCAGAGCAAGGAGGTGAAAGCTACCTTGGAGAGCGGCACTGGGCACTGCGGGATCCTAGGCAGAGAGCACTTGGCTCAACCTTGAATGGGGGTGGAAGGCTTCCAGCAGGAGATGCTGCTAAGTCTTGAAAGGAGAGTAGGGTTAGCCTGATGAGAAAGGGGAAAAAGGCAGGCCAGGTCAGAGGGGACCCTGTGCAGGGTACGGGACATGAAATGTCACAGTCCAGTATCTATGGGATTTGAAACAATCGTCCAGCAGTGGTGTGTGAGGGCTAGCTGGTACTGACTCATGAAGGCCAGCTGGTAGATTTTCAGGAAGTTTGGAAGCTGGCTGGTAAATACAGCCATTATGAAAACCCCAGTTATTTAAACTTATAATCCATCGAAGTATTTTTAAAATGTACTAAATTCATTGATGCCTAGTTACTTTATTTTATTCTATGTGTCTCTCTATGCATCTATCTATATGTATTTGAGGTTTTCTTTACTTCTGTTGTATCTGTGTGGTGGAAATACACTATATTGGATTGCTACAGTGCATCTCTTTCCAATTCCATATTTAATGACATCCGTTTGATGGTTTGAAATCCATCGTAGCTTAGATATTTACACCATGGATATTGGTAAATCCTATAAGTCAGGTTTTGATTTATTGTTTTGTTGATTGTCTAGACCAGGGATAGGCAAACTACAGCCTGGTGACCAAGTCTGGCTTGAAGTCTGTTTTCTCCAGCCTGTGTGTTAAGAATACTTTTTATATCTATGTTGTTTTACAAAATTAAGAAAAAAAAAGAATAAGTGACCAGAGACTGTGTGATTACAGGTAAAAGAGTTCAGTGAAAAATCAACGAAAGCATTCTATAAAAATCAATTGGTTTTATGGAATTTATAATACAGTTTATTGTATATTTTATTATTATTTGTAAATTGTGTCTACACATCGCTTATATCGGTAAAATGACCTAACGTCTGAATGCATGTGTGTGCCCACACACATACATATACAGAGATGAGTCTGTGTGTCTGTGTGTGTGCGTCACACACTGAACAGCCAGATTTTAAACGTGTATCAACACACCACTTGAGGCAGTGAGAGATAAAACGTAAGAATTAGGGAAGACCCAGGTAATGATGGACCCTGTGACCCATGTTAAGGAGCTTAAACTGTGGGGGAAAAGGAGCCACTGAAGGATTTTTTGCAGAGTAGTGACATGGGCAGACTTATGTTTTAGAGGAGTCATTCTGAACATGTGTTTCAGGGGCCAGTACAATTAGCACCCCATCAAAATTTGTTAGAAACGAAAATACACAGGTCCTATCCAAACCTACAGAATCAGAAACTCAGGGGGAGGGGCTCAATCATTGGTTTTTAAAACTCCTCCAGGAGACTCCGATGCACCCTACTGTCTGAGAACAACTATTTTAGAGCAGTTACTCTAAAGGTTACTCTGAAGCTACTCTGTAGTTTAGATCTGTCTATAGGTGGGTGGAGCATGTTGCTGGACAGATGGTTAGAAACCCTGTTAGGAGACAAAGTCAATCACTAGTGGATACATACAGGAACAGTGGAGGTGGAGATGAATCATTGAAAACTTAGGATCTGACTTTTTTCCAACCTCTATCATGAACTGTAAGAAAGATCTCTTTTGATCCTAATCTTACTTTAGCATACTGTTGATAAGATATGCCATTCATTAACTTCAAAAGAGAATCTGTCACTCTTTGACTCAGGATGCAAAATACCAGGCAGTTTTTTTTGTTTTTTTTTTTAGTTGCTGATAACTGGAAATCTATGAGTATCAATCATTCTTATTTGTTTAAGTGATTGTAAAAACATTACTGAAATTATCTTAAAGCAAAGAGATATTGTTTAGGAACTTGAGGACAATAAATAACACAAAACCATCATGAAGTTTCATTAGGTCCCCATATACTTGACCTCTAATGACTTGAGAGGTGATTCTAAAATTCACCCAGTTGCCTAATACAACATTTGTTTTCAAGTTATCACTACCTGTGGTCTCCAGTGTAGATGATCTGTATGGAATCACAGCTGAGTGCCATTAAAGTGAATGTCAGCATTTAGGGAGAGACATCCAAAGATGTCACTGAATTTGTGAAGTTGGAACAGATTTCTTCTAGAAATGTCTAAATTTTTTGGTGCCTTGTAAGAAGTATTTCCTGGGGGAGGGGGGGAAAACACCTTGAAATGTTCCTATGAAGCAAACTCTGCTTCAGAGAATCCAAGCCCCTTCCAAAGTATGCAGCCAGCTTGTTCATATGAACATAAAAGAAGACAGACTGACGATAACAGTGACATTGACATTGGCTGCACTGGAACAGGAGAGGTAGGTGTTGGGAGAAGTCTCTCGAACAACTGGAGCTCTCCAGCCTTTGAAGATTCACCTTCAAGGCTGTGTGGAGAGAAAGGGGCACCAGGGACAGGAATCCTGGGTCGCAATTACCACTTTACCACTAAGTAGGCGCAAAAACCTGGGAAGTAAAATTTCCTTACTTCAGTCACCCAGAAACAATATGAACACCCTTGCTGCTAAATAGGATATCTGAATCTGAATATAAGGTCTGTTTTTTTATTGAAGTATAATTGATTTACAATGTAGTGTTAGTTTCTGCTGTACAGCAAAGTGATTCAGTTATACATATATATATATATATATATGCTTTTTTCATATTCTTTTCTATTATGGTTTATTTACAGGATATAGAATATAGTTCCCTGTGCTATACAGTAGTTCCTTGTTGTTTGTCTGTTTTATATATAGTAGTGTGTATATGTTAATCCCAAACTCCTAATTTATCCCTCCCCCACCTTTCCCCTTTGGTAACTGTAAGTTTGTTCTCTATGTCTGTGAGTCTGTTTCTGTTTTGTAAATAAGTTCATTTGTGTCATATTTTAGATTCCACATATAAGCGACATCATATGATTTTTGTTTTTCTCTGACTTCACTTAGTATGACAATCTCTAGGTCCATCCATGTTGCTGCAAATGGTATTATTTTATTCTTTTTTATGGTTGAATAGTATTCCATTGTATGTATGTATGTTTGTATCGGTGTGTGTGTGTACATATATATATGCCACATATTCTTTATCCATTCATCTGTTGATGGACATTTAGATTGCTGCTTCTGTGTCTTGGCTATTGTGAATTGTGCTGCTATAAATATTGGGGTGCATGTATCTTTTCGAATTAGAGTTTTCTCCAGATATATTTCCAGGAGTGGGATTGCTGGATCATATGGCAACTCTATTTTTAGTTCTTAAGAAACCTTCATACTGTTCTCCATAGTGGCTGCACCAATTTACATTCCCACCAACGGTGTAAGAGGGTTCCCTTTTCTCCACATCCCCTCCAGCATTTGTTTGATTTTTTTTTAACATCTTTTTTGGAATATAATTGCTTTACAATGGTGTGTTAGTTTCTGCTTTATAACAAAGTAAATCAGTTATACATATACATATGTTCCCATATCTCTTCCCTCTTGCGTCTCCCTCCCTCCCACCTTCCCTATCCCACCCCTCTAGGTGGTCACAAAGCACCAAGCTGATCTCCCTGTGCTGTGCGGCTGCACCTTTCTCCCTTTAAGCAAAGTTTGATTACTTGATCACAGACAGCAAACCCCAAGTTCTACAGTTGTTCCCAAAGTCCACTGCCACAGTTTTAGGACGATTCATTGTCCATTCAGGTATTCCACAGATGCAGGGTACATCAAGTTGATTGTGGATATTTGATCCACTGCTCCTGAGGTTGTATGGAGAGATTTCCCTTTCTCTTCTTTGTTCGCACAGTTCCTGGGGTTCAGCTTTGGTTTTGGACCCACCTCTGCGTGTAGGTCACCTGAGGGCATCTGTTCCTGCCCAGAGAGGACAGGGTTAAAGCAGCAGCCGATTTGGGGGCTCTTGCTCATTCAGGCCAGGGGGAAGGAGGGGTATGGTAGTTATAATTGGAATGTGGGGCAAGCCTGCGGCAGTAGAGGCTGGCTTAATGTTTCAGTAGCCTGAGGCACACTGTGTGTTCTCCCGGGGAACTTGTCCCTGGATCATGGGACCCTGGCAGTGGCAGGCTGCACAGGCTCCCTCGGGGTGTGGATAGTGACCTGTGCTTGCACACAGGCTTCTTGGTGGCTGCAGCAGCAGCGTTAGCATTTCACGCCCGTCTCTGGGGTCTGAGCTGATAGCTGCAGCTCACGCCCATCTCTGGAGCT